AATAGACCAGTACAGCAACCTTTGGCAATCTTAGCAAAACGTTCGGTGGGACAACATCGTAGTCAAACACAATTATTGATTCAGTGGTCAAATTCTGACGTTGAAGACCCTTCACTGGAATTTGAACATGATATTCATCGTGCATATCCTCATATTGATCTTGAGCACAAGGTCCCTGTGATTGGGGGGAGTAATGATGCAGTACAAAAAGAGAATAACGAGTTTAAGAGAATAACTCGTTCAGCTACAAGGTGTCAACCCAAGTTACCTGCATGGCGAAAGGATTTCGTTTAAGAAATTAGTTCCGTAAGCTCAGGGAAGGAGGTTAGGGAGTTAGTTGTATGTAGAAGTTGTTAAAGATAGTTAGTTGATGATTGTATGAAATGGAGAAGGTATAAAAGGAAAGCTTGTATTCTGTGATTGCATATCAGATATTATAATAATGTTTCTCTTTCTTACTCTGTTACGTGTATTCTTGATCTTTATCTCTCTGAGATTGCATCAGGTTCTTTCTCAATTTATATTTTGAGTATTTGAACTCGGCTCTATGGTTGAATTGCTTTATTTCTTTCTTTCATCAACTTTTATCTCGGACTAGATCTCTCCACATCCATCTTCAGCCTTTATGATGGATTGACTCCATTTAATAAACCATTTATATCCCGAAGGGCCGATCTTCATTCTGACTTGTCTTCTTTTGTCGAAGCCTTATATTTAAGGAGACACATTTTGCCTATTTGAATTGCATTGCGTCTTCTTCTTGCACGGCTTTTTAATTTGGGCCCCACTTCTTTTGCGGTGCCATTTTATCTGAACCCGGCTTCATTTGCCGTGGTCTTTTCATTTTCTCGAGCCCGACTTCTCATGCCTCGGCTCTTCTTTCAGCTTGGCTTCTTTCGCCCAAGTCTTGCATTCATCTAGGTGGATTTCCTTCCTTATTTGAGTGGATCTGGATCTCCTTCCCTTTTTTAGAGGGGATCTCCACGCCACTTGTTTGATTATTCTTTGCAAAAATAAATGCAACATAGTAAAGCATGAAGTAGGCTATTAGCAATAATTTTGCTTCAATCAACAATTAGTAAGTATCCATGTGTAATCAGATAATAATTGTAATCAACAATTAATATTTGATCAGCATCAATCAATAATTAATATTAATTGACCGTATTTTATGCTATCGGATTTGATTGACCATCTATCATAAAGCTCTATGCTCCCTAATTTTCTTGATCTTCATCTATGCTCCATGAAACTTAGGGTATGCGTCTTTATTGTGAAACCCGATGCTCCTTTGTCATGATCATATTCAAAATATCTGCTGATCTGCTTCTATCAACATATCATACTAAACACATGTATAACAATGTTGACCAACTTTCAAAATTATACACCTCGCACATCAATGCTTATGGAAATTTCATATTATATGATAATAATTTCTGGGATATAAAAGTAAGGAAAATAATGCTTTCTTATTATTTTGTAACCATCCTGCTTGCAATAGAGGACAGTTCCTGTAGTGGGAGTAACATAAACCAGCTTGGATATTTTTAATCTGGGCCCATTGGCATGGTTCCAACGTGTTATTCTTGATCCCGGCTCTGGTTATGATGTCGAACTGTCATATTTATTGAAGCTTGATCCCGACTTTGGTAATGACTTGGCCGAGATGCGTATTATTGTATGTTATTCGATCCAACTCCTCTGTATTCTGCATATCAATTACCCATCTTTTGTTTGGGAAAATTGTTAGTGGTTACAAATATTATCTACTTGAGTAGATTGTGCCGGTATAATATCTCGACAGTTGAAAATAAATGAGAGGAAATATCTCCTTATCTGACTTGTATTTCCAAAGCCAGTGTTTCATGAGCTTCTTTGACGACGGTATTGCCACTCTTGGTGCTATCATGAAGCACTTTGAATTATTGTATTTGCTACAAGAAGACAAATTCAATTGCAACCACAAGGACACTGGGTCCCGCAAGCAATGGTTCAACAATATATATTAAACAATGTTTAAACAACGTCTCTTAATCTGAGATGCAGCAATAATAATATATATTGTAAACCAATGTTAAGAAATGCCACGTGTGTGTGTATATATATATATATATTAAAGGATGTATTAAATACATTATGCCAATCAAGACAAATTTTTGATTTGTCCCCAGATTATTCCCAAAGCATTCAATTTAATCAGGTTTTAATCAAAGGCTGTATTAAATACATTATGTCAATCAAGACAAAACTTTGATTTGTCCGCAGATAACTCCCAAAGCATTCAATTTAATCAATAGTGCAATATTAATAAAATTGAAAAGTAGGATAATATCAAATATTTTGAATAATATGCTAAGATCAAGGATGCTTAGCTTTTTGATGGGCCTGATCAGATTCTGAGAGCAAAACCTTCTCATTGAAGCCACAGCAGCCGCACGGGGTTGGAGTGATAAAATTTTCGCATTGTTGTGCACTTTGTGCTTTCAGGATCCAATAACATCAAAATTTATATTTTTGCCGTAGTCCCGATCCCGGCCACGTTCGTGGTCTTGATCTCGGTCATGATCCCGACAATGGTAGTGGTCACAATTTTAATCTCGACTTTGTCATGCTTGCTGAAGCAATTGCGAGCTCTAATCGATCTTGAACGGTTGATGAGTTTATTTCTGTACTTTGCGCTCATCGTATTAGGATTTGGATGTGGCAGCGGCTGCTGCACTTTCACCACTATTGGGTAGGAATTGAATTTAATCGTTCTCCACAGACGGCGCCAATGTTTTGTCTTGGCAACAGAGATGTCCAGCCCTATGGACTGGTATGTTAATCTTGGATCTAGTGCCCTCTCCAAGGTATCTATGAAAGAGATACCCTTGAGTCAAGCAGATCATTGTGCACAACGAACTAATAACGGCGTTAGCCAATGGGGTGTGTGTGCGCGCACAGTGACATCATAACAGTAAGAGAGATAGCGTAACGTACCTTTAGGGTTTACCTTATATTTATAGAGGTTACATGTGGGTAGTATGATGTGGGTCTTTAGTGCCTCTGATAAGGGCCCAAGCCTGTTTGCTACGCTGTCGTATTAGGATTAGTATCCTTGATGGATACTATCCATAATTATAATTGATTCAGATATTGGATTGCCCATTATTGGGCCTGCCATTGAATGAGCCCCTTATACGGGTCCATAACAATTCAGAATATCTAAACATCCAAAATTTATTATAATAAATAAATAAAGGATTTATTGTTTTATTGTTCTAATCTTATAAAAAATAAATTTATTTCCTATACACACATAAAAATATGAGATTTAATTTTTTTTTTTCTCTTCTCCTTTCATGAAGCCCTCATACTTTTATGTATCTGTAAAAGATAAATTTATTTCTTATATACCGTAAAAATATATGTGCCTCGTACAGTGCCGGAGCCAGGATTTACTTTTAGTTGGGGCAAAAAAATTTGAGATATCGAATTATCAAATATTTATCATAATCACACAAATCTATTAGAAAAAAATTTACCATGAATTCTAACATACTTATCTAAATTATTTACTAAATAATGTCACATAACTTTGAAAGGAATTAAGGAGAGTAGCCACAATAGTAAACGTGGGTGGCGTTGGCAGCGAACGAGTGAAGAAGACATATTGTTAAAAAGAAGAAAAGCTTGAAACAAGAATGGACCTTAAATGATTATTATAGTTTAATTTAATGGTTGAGCAGTTTTACTTTCCTTTATTTCGCTAATGGTCTTTGTAGCAAAAATTATTGCGCAGTATACCATGAGCTGTTAAAATATAACCTCTAAAGGGCCATGAATTGTAGATTGTCACATATACGTTTTCAATTATTAAAAGCTCATAATAATCCATCTTCAATATATTTTAATTTTTAGATAAGGACAAGACTCCACCTATTCATAATAATCCATCTTCCACAATAATCTATTCATAATAAGTAAAAAAAAAATAAAATAGCTAGGGCCTAGTAGAGGTGACAAAACGGGCCGACCCGCCCTCAACCCGCCAAAAACGGGGCAGGGCGAGTTAACCCGCCATTTGATGGGGGGTTAAAAATATCAACCCACTCCGTTTTGAGGTGGGTTGGCGTGTTAACCCGTTTAAAAAACAAAAAATAATTAAAAATAATAATAAATTATATTTTATTAATTTTATAATTTTTTTTTTATTTCACACTCGTCTTAATTTTTTTTCAATCTCAAGCCTAAATATAAGTTAATATTCGGTCAGATATTTTTTAGGAACCTTTTTTTGGCTCCATATATGGATAACCTTTGTTCTAAATAAAGTTTTTCTTATTTATTTTTTCTAGGAGAGTACTAAAATAAAAAAAAATTATATCACAAAAGCTTAGTGACAAATAAAATATTACCTAATAGTTAGAAAAAAAAAATAATTAACCCGCGGGGCAACTCATCCCGACCCACCATCAATCTTTTTTGACTCACAACTAAGTGGAACGGATTGATGGATTAAAATGTATAACCCAATTCGTCCCATTTTAAGGATTACAAATTAATAATTAACTCATTGAATTCAACCCATATTATCACGTATAATAGGCCTGGGCCACGCCACTAGCCTCATATGGAATCATTGAAAGTGAAAAGATAAAAAAGAAATAAAGTATTTGACCCAAATGCCGACAAACCATATGACAAATTTTTTTTATGGAAAATATTAATTGTCTTTCACATGAGATATCATTTCTCACATTTTGATTTTCGTACTTCACATTTTTTATTTATTTATTTGTTCTTGCAATGGTGAGACTCACCTATTTTCTGTCTATAATATAAGATAACTATCTTATGTTAAATGATACTAATTAAAACCCATTCTTGATATTGCAATTCTACTACTTTTTCCGTTTGTTGTTGAATGCGCTCATGAAAATCACACTCTACTTTACTACACAGCCAGTGCCACCCATTTCGAAGCAAGGACAAGGATTGACCCGTTATCTTGTTTCCCGCGTCCGTATCCAATTGATGATTAATGATTATGTAGCTGTCAACCTCAAAAGGGTCTCATATGAAAAAAAGTAGAAAACCCCTCTTCCTAAGGTATACTCGTATAGTATACCCACTTCTATTTCCCGAGTAAAGTTGCCTCCTTTATCACATATAACAATGCCAACGTGAGTTTCAGCAATTTACCCTTATGCTTTTTTTGTCCCCTTTACCAACTCCACAACCTTCAATTTCCCCTGCAAAACAGCCTCAAATCTTAAGGAGGTAATGGTTCTTCTTGATTGTGCGGTTTTTTCAGCCTTGTCTCTTTCTACATTCCTTGCTGTGTCTTTTTTTTATTTTATTATTATTATTGATAATTGGGTGTTCGTTAAGTCATGGGTTTGGGTGGTTGAATTGGAGAACAGAAAGATGTGAATGAATTTTGTGAAATTCTATAATTTATGCTCATGCTTTTCTGCTTGGTATGAATTGGAGTTAGATGTTGCTTTCAATGGCATGGGGATTAATGTTTATTCATCTGAGAAAGTAGGGAATGCACAGACACACATCAAAAGTGTTGATAGCCTCTTAGGTTCCTAGCTTCTTTAACTTTGTGTTGGATTGGATAAGTCAGACATGATTAGCTTCACAGTAGTTAGAATTACACGACCTGTGATTCGGATGAATCGGAGATAGCTTTAAATCGTGCGATACATGCATGAATCCGTGCCATTCTACATTGTTAATACGAATAGCATGATTTAACAATTTGTTAATTCCTATTCTTTATTGCTTTTCTTTCATCAATTCTCACAAAAGAAATTAAAAAGTCAAATACGTTTAAGTTGTTAAATCAAAGGAACTAAAGCATGTACCCTATTTGATTATTTCATTTCCCTATTTTCATTCTCTGTAATTGGGGCTTCACACAATCACTCACTCACAGTCCATCCTATTTGGTTATTACATTGCTCTGTTTTCATTCTTCTAAAACAAATGCTTCACATAGTCATTCACTCTCTCTAGATGCACCTCTATAATATCAATGCTTTGTTTTTGTTCTTCTGAAACATAAACTTCATGCAGTCACTTTATGCGACTCAATTATGAGTTATGACTTATGATTTTATTTTTTGAGACTTATGGTTGAGTTGTTTTGTCATTCCTAGTTCTTAGTTTGAAATTATTTTATTGAGCATTACACATCATTTATATGATATATTTCAAGCCATTTTCCGCGGTCTCTAATTTGATATGATTCACAATTTGAATTGTGATTCAATTGTCTGTCAATTTTGGAAAGCATTGTAGATCAAGTATTTTAATGGATAGCTACTTGTGATTGTGTCTGATGCTTGAGTTAGACCACTAAACAAGAATAAAACAAGTAAACAGCCTATGAATTGTTTGTCTCTTAAACTTCTTATGTCTGGATATCTACTGGTGTTAGTATCATGATGGGAAACAGAAAAGATTTGATTTTGAAAGAAATTTATGAATTATCAATTAAGAAAATGATTTAGTATTCTCATCCATCTAATTCTAATCATCAGCCTCTATAAGTTAAATGCCATCCTTTATGAGTAATCATGTCATGATTCATGTCTATATTTAACTATATGCTGAATGGATTAAATCCACATTATGCAGTCTTTAACTTTTTGAACAATTATATCAGGTCAGGGACGCTACTCCAAGGTTTTCAAAGGATTTGGTTTGTCTTTCAAGATTCCTATTCTCGTAGATTGTGATCCGCAAACCATTATTGCAGTTGCTTCTCTGATTCGTTAACTGCTATTTAGAGTTATTGAGAGACCATAATGAGTACGCACCGTATGTTGGATATCGTTTTAAATGATATAATTCAGGTGGTCACACCCTTACAAGAAGATCGGGCGATTCGTTATGCAATTATCAATGATTTGCGAAGCATTGTCGAATCTGTGGAAAACTTGAGAGGTGAACTTTCTAATAGTTTTGTTTATGCTCTTCCCCACCCAACCCCCCCCCCCCCCCCCCTAAAGATAAATATGGAAAAAATGTTAATAAATTTACGGATAGTCCATAGCGATTGAAGTATTCTGCTTTATTATATTACAATTTCTATATATAAATTTATTTCCTGGCTTGAACCATGAAAGCTTTGAAGGAAGGAAACAGTTTTATCATCTAACCTAAAGGCAGGATTTCTGTATATGGTGAACGAAGATGCATGCAGGGGCTAATTATATTCATCTAAATGTTTTGGTTAACATTAGTTCTTCTCATACTTACAATTGAATATCCTAGATTCATTAAATTAATTTACTATATCTCCCTGCTGTGTACCAGCAATAGGAGCTTTTTGGTGTATATAATTGGACCCATCCTCTAGTTTGATTTTTCCTTATATGCCCTTAATCAATTATACTTATACCCTCCAATAATTTAATTCCAGCTCTACCCCTGACTAGCATTCCAAAAGATTGGATGCTATGTCTTCTTATGGGGAAAGATTTTTGACATTCAAATTGATTGAGTCATTCATCCTATATATTTTTTCATTTTAATGTTACAAATAATCAAAGTTCTTCTAGTTCTAGGAAATTTTACAGGTTGAAGATTTGCCTTGCCCTTCAAACGTAGGAGCATCAGTATTTGTTGTTGTTTTTACTTTAATTTTATAGTACTTCAGTGTTTAATCTTGTCTCAAGCTATCTTAAGATTCCATCATCATTATATTCGCATGGTTGTACTAAATTGTTCTTTTCTCCTTATTCAAAGACAGGAACATTAAAAGATGCCAAATTGTGGTGCAAGCTTCAAATTAGCTTGAGAAGAATTTTATTATCTTTTAAATGAAACAACTTTTCAAACATTTAATTTTTATTGTCTACCTCGAGTACCGCGGATGTGGAAGTGATTTACCATGAAGTTTTTCTTTCTGTATGAAGTCATCTTATAAGATGGCTCGGGTTGCTGTATCTTGTAGAATTGAACAATTGTTAATTTCCTGTAATTTTGAAATTTAAGTATTTGAAGTTGTACTTTTACAGTTTACTCAATTTTTGGAACAGGAGCAACTGTTGAGCCATATGGATCATTTGTATCTGATCTCTTCACACGATGGAGTGACTTGGATATTTCAGTTGAATTACCAAATGGTTCACATATTTCATCTGCTGGGAAAAAACGAAAACAAACGTTATTGGGGGATCTTTTAAGAGCTTTGAAAATTAATGGTAAATTTCTCATACTTGAAGCTTCTGTTACTTGGAAGTTGGAACAAGAACTTGGTATTTGTTAACCATCTAGAAGATCCATTTCTCTTCCAGTTTGACAATTTCTTTCTCTTCATCTTCACATAGCTCAAGCAGTAGGATAGCCATGCAAGAATTAGTTGAATTTTTTCTTTGAAATGAAAAAACCAAGCTGAACAAATAGCCATGCAAGAAATTATAGTAAGGGATGCAAACCTCTGCTGTATATTCATTACATGATTATTAGTATGTATACTCTCCTAGATTTACCACAAACAGATATATTATTTAGTTATTTTAGAGAGCACTTATTAGTGACTTGTACAGGGTACAAATTTGGTTTTATCTGTCACCATGAAATTGCTATTTGCATGTAATTTTATAAATATAATTGAAATTGGGTAGGATAATGTTGTTACACGGGAGATGAATTCTCTTCAATATTATGACCAGTTTGATGTCACAGATATGTCTTTTCTATTGGCTTGCTTTCAAAGACAAGGGAAATTACACATCAGGAACTGGAGAAAAAACAGGGATGAACTATCTTATATGATCCTAGAGTTGCTTTATAATATCCTTAAATTTAAGAATGAGTCATTCTAGATAACATGATAATTTCATACATAATAAAACCGTGTAATGACTTATGGGACCACTCAGTCCGATAATAATTTCACTCCACGTCAATCTCAGTACTGATTTTCAGTGGTTTTTTCGAGTTCCATTAGTAGTGCTCATTAAGCATATCATATCTTTCTTTATACTTTTTAAGTTTTATAACCATAATTAGCAAAAAGGAAAATATGGAATTTTCAAGGTTATTTAGTCTGTCTAATACATTTTGTAATAACACTAATATTCAGGTGGATGGAGCAACTTGCAGTTCATCTCCAATGCACGAGTTCCCATTTTAAAATTGAAAAGCAACCGACAGGGTATATCTTGTGACATTTCAATTAATAACCTGCAGGGCCAAATGAAATCCAAGATTTTGCTTTGGATCAACAATATAGATGGTCGTTTTCACGATATGGTTTTAGTGGTAATTTCTTGTGGCTGAAGTCGGGTTTCTGTGCTAGGAATTGCTTCTGTTTGATTCATTCTTTCTAGTTTGTGTAGGTCAAGGAATGGGCCAAAGCACATAAAATTAATAACTCTAAAGCTGGAACTTTCAACTCCTATTCCCTCAGTTTACTTGTAATCTTTCACTTTCAGGTACTTTTCCTTTTTCATATTTCTTTTATGTGGTGTTAATATTTTTTCTTCCTCTTTTTTGGGGCTCTTTTTTTTTTTGTCGGGGGGGGGGGGGGATATGCTGCAGCAAACTGTTTGTTGATTCTGCTCATATGCCATCTGTATTTTATTTTTGGATTGGATTTTTGCTGGAAAGTCTTATGCATTTTTTATATACTTTCTTTTACATCTTCCTACATGAACTATAACTTCAACCATTTGATAGCCTTCAGTCTCCTAGTCTTGAAAAAAGTACTAGGTGCTCAGTTCAGTCTGAAGATTTGTTACTAGCTAAAGTAGTTTGCACCTCCACGATCATATGTTTTAAGTGTTAGTTGTGTTGTCTCTGAATATTAATAGATGGATCTTTGTCTTCTGATGTTTGCACCATTTTCTTTCATTTTCAGACATGTGTTCCTGCAATTTTACCACCACTTAGAGATATATACCCTGGCAATATGATTGATGATCTTAGAGGTACATTTCATTTTTTATTTCAAGCATTAAGCGTCATTATTCTTCTAGAATGTGAGATTTTGAGGCAAATTTTATAGAAGCTGAACCTGTTTGTAGAAAGTTGAATTATTTACTAATTCTTTTGGATGTTTAGGGTGTGTGCATGCTTCAATGTTGAATTCCATAAATGCATACAACTTATTGCGATGCCAAGAGTTCAACATACTTCTGCTATCTATGCTTTGCATAGTTTTCCTTTTAAAATGACTTCGAAGAATTAAACCTCAGTTATGAATGTCATGACCATTATAGTCCAATCGGATTGATGTTGGTTTAAGGGGTCTCAGGCTAATATTTGCTAAAAGGATAGTGGGTTGTAGGTTTGGGGTTGACAAACAATCAGCTCTGATGACAGATTGGTGGGCCACAGGCTCATGTATGGTGTTGTCTTTTCCTTCCTTTTGTTTCTGTCTCTCCTATATTATTTTTTAGGGCTTCCAAGAAGAGGGGAGAGTGTCTGTTGCTGGCGGCTGTGCATGGATGAGCATAACCCGAGGAAATCCTTTGTTCTCCTTAGATGAACTCCTTTTGACTATCCTTTTATCCTTTTCCCTTTTCTCTCCCTCAAGAAGATTCTACTGTGGTCTGAACACAGCTTGGGGGCAAAGTACAAAAAACTTGTTCAACATGATTGCCAGTCAGCAACCTTTTGCCATTTTTTGTTTGAATTTATGTGATTGGAATGTTCGAAATGCTTGGTATGCCTCTTAAAATAGCATATGAATTAGAATTGTCAATTTACTTGTATATATTAAAAAGGCTGATTCCACCTTTAGAATTGTCAAGTTACCTATACAAGAGTTATCTAACTGTTATCTTGATGTAATTTATGCAGGTGTCAGAGCTGATGCAGAGAATCTTATTGAAGAAACATGTCATGCTAACATAAATCAGTTCATATCTGACAAGTCCAGGCCAATTAACAGAAAATCTTTGCCTGAACTTTTTGTTGAATTCATAAGAAAGGTAAATCATCCTTTTTCTTGATTTTATACTTTCAATTGGTACTAGTAAAAGACATTTGTATGCCGTCTCTGTTTTGCATCTGGAATATTTGTGCACTTGATGTTACAGTTCATGTCTGATAATTTGAAGATTATGTCTTTTTTTCTCTCTCTAATTTTGGTAATAGCATTGAGAATGTTGTAGTCATGGATATGGTGTATTTTTAATGAAAAGCAAACATTTTATATGGATTTGTTGTTTAGGCTTTCTTTGGTAGTGAATCCTTCAATCTATAGTATGTCCCTATAGGCATTATTTACTTGCAATAATGATTAAAGCATGTTGTATGTTCCTGTAGTTTGCTCAGATGGATTCATGGGGGTCAGAGCTGGGTATTTGCCCATATACTGGACAATGGGAACAGATAAAGAACAACATGAGATGGTTGCCCAAGACTTACTCAATATTCGTAATTCTCTGCTCACTTGAGTAATACCTTCCTCTTTATTTATTTATTTATTTATGAGTAAATACCCTTTTTGGTCCTTAGCAAATTTCACGATGCCCGTTTTAGTCCCTAGCAAATAAAAAGGCTTATCGTTGTCCCTAAAAAATTCAAAATGGACCCATTTTAGTTCTTTTGAGGACTAATATGGGTCTGTTTTGAATTTGTGAGGGACCACGATTTCAACTAAATAGGTCCATTTTGAATTTTTTAGGGACCACAATGGGCCTTTTTATTTCCTAGAGACTAAAGCGGGCATCGTGAAATCTGCTGAGGACCAAAAAGAGTATTTACTCTTTATTTATTTATTTGTGTGACATTATGATTTTGTTTTGGGGATAGGATTTGTTTAATTACTGCCACAAAAATGCTTGATTCCTTTTGGACTTTCCTATCTGAGGCAATGCTCAAATGGCAAATGCTTTATTCTATCATATGTGGATATCTTCTCTTGCTCTACTATTGATATTTGTATCTGACTTTTGGTTGGTTAGGTTGAGGATCCTTTTGAGCAGCCAGGAAATTCTGCAAGGTCTGTCAACATAGGACAACTGGAAAAGATAACCAATGCTTTTATAAGGACGTACAGCATACTTACCTCGAAAAATCAGAATCAAAGTTCACTCCTGACCTACTTAGCACCGCCACATGTGTCACGATTGATTACACAACCTGCTATCCCTAATTACAGTGGTGGTTACTTTCACCCAAGTCAGCCACAGCTGCAGAGAGCCGTGCACCAACGCCCTCAGTCACAGCGTCATTTTCAAAATGACAGACAAGGAACAAGCTCCAGCAGTTTAACTTCTTCAAGAGGACCTAAGCAGGTGCATCAAAGCCAGCAGATATGGAGGCCTAGGATCCAATAGATGAATTGCTAGCCAAAATACACAAGGGAACCTCTATTACATTTTGAAAGCATCCCGGGTTTAGCTAGTCAAACAGGTTTTTAACAGTTGCCTTTTAGCTTACTTGTTAATACAGGTAATTAGATCTTGTGTTATAATTAGCATGTTATTCTTTGCTGTTGGGCATCAAAAAGTGATTAACCATGGATTATTACTTGACATTTGGGTGAGGCATTATACTTGACATGCAATGTTTGGATTAGACTCTTTTGTACTTATGGTACCATTTTGGAACATACAAGAGTTTGCTTATGAACCAGCTAAGTTGATTTGCTTTTGTTTAATACTCAGAGTAGTATCGGTAACCAACATGTGTTACGTGTAGCACTAGACCAAAAAAACAAGTGAGAGATTCAAATATACAAATGGGATTTGGCAGTGAAGTGATTAATCAGAGCAAGGGATCTGGTGTGATAAAAGTTGCCTCTATTTTGTATTTGACATGTATCATCTCTTGAAGATATTTGTTCTAGATCAAAAAAGAAATGACCCCCCTGAATTCTTTCGGATTTTGAGGCACATTAAAGTGGAATATAAGTCCACCAGTTACTGATCATCGTCTTGGTAAGCTATTGCCTCATCAACTAGCTAATCAGACGCAAGCCCCTGTCGAGTCATTTCGAATTGTTTGTTTACACGGACAAAGTCAAAGTCAAAGTCAAGGAAAACCTCTTAAATTCTTAACCCCTCGTTACTAAATACTCTCTATTTCTATTCTATTAGTATTAATAGATTACTATATAAATAGTATCCTACCAGAATCTGATGATCTATACTTATAACTAAATATGGGTTGCAAATGCTTTTTGCTTATTAATTATCAAAATTTAGACGGATTGTTTTTCAAGTTTCAACTGTTATTCCCCACACCTTCACGCGTATTGCTTATGACATTATTCGTTATGGATATTATAATCAGGAAATCTCAGAAGTGGAACATTCACTGTCAACCTAAGACTATAAGCCACGGAATTTTTTTACATTAGTGGGTGAATTGTTAAGACCATGATTTGGGGAATAAAGACTTATCCAGTGATTCTTCCTTCTCTAATTTATTTAGACCGATAGACAAGGTCTTGAATCTTGAATTATAATTCTTATAGAGAAAGTGCTTAATAAAAGATATTGTTTTGTTTGAATGAGTGAACAATACAGATCCAATGCTTAAGTCAGAGAATACGTATATATGAAAGTGTACACACTATAATTATAGTAGAATTGTAGAAAGAATTATATAATTGAGGGCACACTGTAGAAGATATTTTTTGATATAACCATATCATACGTGAGAGGATCAAAGATAGGAGTTAGGACCCAGGGAATTAAGTTAGGTGTGGGTCCAATATATTGGTCCAGCATAGATAGGTTTCCAAGGCCACTTTAAAAGAAAAACAAAAACAAAAACAACAAAAAACAAAATAAAAGAAAAAACATATCATAATATAGATTTTTGGATAAGAAAGCATTAGCTGAAGTTGTAAAGGGCATGTAATGTTGGAATTAGTATTTTTTTATATGAGATAATTTTATTTTCTATATATATTTATATAAAAACACGTGGGATTGATGTTTTCTTTTTTTTTAATCTTCTCTTCATATGAGTCTACTGAACCCCATATATTTTTATGTATACGTAGTTTATCTCCTACAACGAAACATTAACCCTATAATGTTATGTGGTGAATAGGGGTTCATATATTGCATAAGGGGAATGCTTTTGTGTTGTTACATAAAAAAACAATGTTGTCGTGCACACACAATGTTTTAAGAGAGAGAAAACGATATGAAGAGAGAGAAGAAACAAAGCATGGGACCCATAAAAAGTTGTTTCTGTAGGAAAAAAAATAATTTGCCTGTAACATTATGGATGGATTACCCATTGCATAATGGGTCCATGTTAGTTGGAGTGTATCACTTACTGAAATTTTTCAATAAAATAATATAGATTAATGTAACATGACCGCCGTAGAATATATGATTTTGTATTTTTTCTCTACATGATTGGAAAGAATTCACTAACACAGTTATAGCTTTAAAAATATCTCCAGACAGTTTTATCCCTCATACATTACATATCTTATTCTTTTGGAGGTATTTTAATCGGTTTATTGCTCTTCGACTAGTCCAATTCGGGACAGGTTCCGAGATTAAGACTTTAAACCTCTCTTAAAGACAGTACGGACACATGCTCTCATCTCCACCTGATCAATTCACTTATGCCAACTGAACTGCCATCATTTGGTACATTAGTATTTGAAGCCTCATAGCCACCATAAAAGTTTATTGCTGAGCATCACTATGTCCCATAACCATATCAAGAAAGCTTCATAACACTTAACCTAATTTCCAAATTAGGTGATCTAATCGTGTTTAACGAACACTAATTATAATAATATTAGTTTAAGGTCAAAGTCAATGTTTTCCATAAAATAAGAGAAAAATAAGAAAACAGATTCTTACATATAACTAGTACATGGCCCAACAAAAAAGGTTGAGCGCAAGCAATCAAGCATCAAATCCAAGCAAATCTCGTCTAGCTAAGAGATGGTGACACCAAAAAAATGGTATCAAATGCTACGTGTCCACCTTTGATTAAGTATGTAGGTGAGCCCCACATGTTTGGTTTATTTATGGTACTTGTGTGAAAATTGATTAAATGTAAGAGCAACTGAAACCAAATACCTTTCCCCTTCGTTCTGTTTAAGAACCTGTGTTACTTTTTAATAAATATCAATAATTACAGGATGATTATTAAAATCTTCTAATATAAATTTGAATAATACATAAATTAGAAACAAATTAATAAAAATAGTTAATTTTATGTAATGATTTTAAATTGTGATTTATTGTCTTTTGTTTTCTTGCCTAATTCATGCACGGAAAGGAACTACAGCAATATAACAGTAGAGAGCAATAGCATTTATCCATTCACGACAATTGGGTCCCAAATAAAGAGTACTGTCATCAAATTACAGCTATTATCGAGTTGGATATGTGACACCTTGCCCACTGCAGCTTCACCATTTCTGAAACCTTCCCCTTTTTTCAATAATAATAATAATAATAATAATTACATTTAATGATTAATACTACATGTAAGTACAAACCACTATTGTCAAATAACCTTTTAAGTGACTTAGGGGGTGTTTGGTTGAGGAAATTTTTTTTATGAATAATAGAGAAATGTGATTACTAGGGAAATAGTTGGAATATGAGTTTGATAGGAAAATGTAAAAAAAATTGTTTGGTTGGATAAAATTTTGATGGAAAAATTAGGTAACTTTTATAAAGTCTATGTTTGGGTGTAGGTAAAATATAGATGGGAAAAAAGTTGTTTTTACGAAAATAACCCCGTTTTATTTTTTTTATTTCAGCCACCGCCCCACCCCCAAAAACCACCATCTCCACCGCCGGAAGCCACCGCAGATGCCATAGCCACTGTCCACAACCTCCCTCACCGATTCAAGCCAGCTAAGACTACACCACAACCACCGTCCCATCTCCTTCTTCACCACCGTGGCTGTGCAACCGAGAAACCCCAACCTCTATCTTCGGACCACCATAGCCATCAGCCTTCACAAACTCCAGCCAACCTCCTCAGCCACCACCACACACCACCGGTGACCCAAAAACCCATTAACATCCGACCACCATCACACCACCACACTTCACCAATTTTTTTTACAAAACCCACAAGCTCACAACCGACCACCATCACTGAACCGCCCTCCATTAACAGCCACCACAAACCCACATCATCCTCCCTTCACCGATCCACAACCATATAGCCACCACCACACCACACCACACCACAACCTTCACAAACTGTTAAGAGCTAAGAACCCTAACAGAGACGCAAAAGAGAAATGAAAAGAATTCACAAGATGGTATATTATTCAGAATGAATGTTTCTCTGTTTCCAATTGACCTTATATCTATTGACAACTAACTAACCGCATGCATTCCATAAAATGGACACATGGCATCACTTCCCAACTAACTGCCAACTCACTAACACCATATGACTATTATACCCCTTATACAATATTACAATGCAGAACCTCAGTTACTGAATTACAACACCTCAGTTACTGAATTACAACTAAACATCAACTACAAAATCCTTAGCCCACATAGGAGCTCCCCTATTCCTTTTGCTGCTCGTAACATTACCCTGGTCTTCCAAATCAACCTTGTCCTCAAGGTTCAAATTAGGATAATGGAGCTTAAGGTCTTCTTCATCCTCCCACGAAGATTCCTCAGGCAAGGAGTGAGACCACTGTATGAGCCATTGAGTGGCTGATTTGTTGTTGCCCGAAACTTTGCGAGACATAAGAGCAGCCACTGGTTCTTGAACAGGATAATTGCCATGACTAAATTCCGGTACCGTGGGAATTAAATCTGGATGATTACCCTTAAAAGGTTTCAACACTGAAACATGGAATGAAGAATGGATCTTACACCCTGCTGGAAGTTGCAATTGATAAGCTACTGGACTCAAAATCCTGGTAATGGGGAATGGACCAAAATAACGCTTGGCCAACTTCTGATTTTGCCTCCTAGCTACTGTCAACTGCCTGTAAGGTTGTAATTTGACCAAAACCAGATCACCTACTGCCAAGGATATATCCTTCCTATGTTTGTCAGCTTGAACTTTCATTCGATTTTGTGCTCCATGCAAGTGATTCTTAAGCTGAGCGAGTAATTCATTTCTGCGAACTAAAGCTGTATCCACTGCCTCCACCTTGATCAGCCCTTTAGAATAATAGGGAATTACTTGTGGCAGCTTACCATATAGTGCCTGGAAGGGACTCATACCAATTGAAGCATGATGGGCTGTGTTGTAGTGTAATTCAGCCCAACTCAAGTACAAAGACCACTTGTGATTCTCATCTGAACAGAAGGCTCGAAGATACTGTTCTAAGTATCTATTAGTCACTTCCGATTGCCCATCGGATTGGGGGTGATAAGATGTACTAGTGTGCAGCTTGGTGCCACTAAATTTAAACAACAAAGTCCAGAATTGACTTAAGAAGACACTATCCCTATCAGATACAATAGTCTTTGGGTAACCATGCAATTTTACAACCATATCACAAAATAGAGATGCTACCTTAACAGCTGTATAAGGACTAGCCAATGCACCGAAATGTGCATATTTAGAGAGGCGATCCACCACCACAAAAATAATTGTAAAGCTGCGAGATAAGGGCAAACCAGTGATGAAGTCCATGCTGATGTCTTCAAACACC